CTGACTGGTACAGGAGGAGATTGTCCCTCCTTTCCCAGCAGAGCATCTGGTGGATTTGAACCGTGCGCCTCTGGGATTACAGTGCAGCTTCTTGCCACTAGGCCACCAGAGCTCCCCTGAGACTTTTACAATCTTTGTACAATTTGTTTTAAGTCTCAGTTATTTGGACACATTCCTGAGAGCGCCAACAATGCCGGAGATACACGATCCAGCTGAGTCCTAGAACCTTGGTCAGATACCTATCTCTTGCTCTCTTGTTTAAATCCTGCCCGCTTCTGCTTCCTGCTTCCAGCACTGGTAACTGAGAAGGGCTGCCAGGGGAGGATTTGAGGGGCCTGGAAGGTTGGGTTCCTTTTTTTCAGTCTGGTTGGCTAACTTTTCCTCTGAATTTGCTGCTGTGGCAATGCATAGGGGAGTAGTACTCTATCACAAGAAACAATGTTGCATGCGGCTGTTACTTTAATATAACCTGTTTCTTTGTATTTGATTCAATGTTACACATACCATCAACCAGCAAACAATACTTGCTTTGAACATTGTGTTCCCTCTAAGGTATTAATGAAGATACTATCTAGAGTAACATTTTATTAAATAATATAGTGCTGTATAGAACTATTCATATAATTTGTTTCATTATGTTTGATCAATGTTACATAAAACCTGCAGCCAAAAGCTATTTGCTTTGACCATTGTGTGTCATGTTAGGGCAGTATGTGGCTTGGCATTCTATTCAATGAAAACAGCTCTGTATGCAACTGTTACTGTAACTCATTTGATTGTATTTGATTAGGTGTTGTTCCATGTAATGTCAGTCACAACTATTGTCTTTGTGTCAGGTAAGGCCCAGTGGCTCAGGAGGACGGCACCCACTCTTACTGCAGCAGCTGCTTAGAGATTTGTGTTTCCTGTGCAGTTAAGAGCTGATCTGTAGGACTGTGGGCAGAGGCCCCACAAGCTCCCTTGGCCACATTGACATAACTCTGTCCTGGGCCCAGCTGCCTCTCGAGCTCCCCTCTTTGAGGGTTCCACCCTCAGCGTCTGTAGCTCCTGGGACCTCCAGGGCCTCAGGCAATGTGTTGGGGGTGAGCAAGGGCCAGGGGCTATCAGATGCTTCCTGACAGTTGTAGAACTGGGCAGTGTCCTAAGGCCTTTTATTGCAGGAACTGCTGAGGCCAGCTTGACAGAAAAAGAACTTACGGATCAAGATGTCCCCAACAAATACTGCTTAGTCCATTCTCTGACCTAACAGTGGCTTGTTAGCGGGCTGGAGCAGAGCAGCTGAGTTAGCGAATAGTGAGCATCTTTCACTCAGGAAGTGTGACTAAGACCTCGAGACCAAGACTTGGCGGGACTGTCACCCGTCAGCGACCTCCCTCTCATCTGTGATGGTTTTATTCCCTGTGTTTCTTGTACCCTGGAGCCAGAGCCCCCCACAGCAAGGGCTCCTCCAGCCCCAAGAGGGCGCTGTGCAGATGTTACCCCTGTAGACACCTGAACTTACAGAGCACCTGGGAATAGCTTTGATGACTTGAATGCTAATGGCCAAAGACCAGGTCAGCAGTTTGGTGGCACTCAGGCCGTCATTGATATGAAGAAAGCAGAAGATCATTGAGGAGACAGGAAAGGAGGTTGTTGTTGTTGTTATGTGCCGTCGAGTCGCTTGCGACTCATAGTGACCTTATGTACAACAGCCCTAAACCCTGCTCTATTCTGTGCCATTCACACTGCCTCTGACACTCCCATCCC